CTGAGTCCCCCCAAAGTAGGGAGACTGGCACTTGTCACAGCCACTCACACTGCCACGGCATCTCACACATCCATAGATTCCTTTGAGGAAAGCTGGTGTGACATGCTTTGCTTCCTCGGCATTCTTCTTCACAATGGCCTTTTGCTTGGGCTCTGCTTTGGCTAGGGTTTTCTTGGAAGCTGGCCTCTTCATGGCAGTATCCAAATCATTGCCCTTCCTCTTGGTGAGCATGTGTTTGGCCTCAGCTTCATAGTCCTCAAGGCTTTTGCCTGGGTGCCATCATTTCCTCCAGCAGGTGCAGCACAGTCAGAAGGTGCAGGTAGAGGCAAAACAGCTGGAACTGCCGGCAAAGCTTTGGGAGTCAGGAGTCCCTTGGGCCGGCCCCATCTGAGAGCAAGGAGTTGCTGGAAGGAGGCTTCTCCAAGCTATCATTGTTCAAGATTTTCTGGCTCAAGGCATCCAAAGCTCTGGCCTGTTTCTCCATCATGTCAAAGAGATGGGTGGTCACCATACTGTTTGTAGGATCTTTCCCTGTCGAAGGCTCTGCTGGCAACTGCTGAGAGGTTGCCTGTGGAGTGGCCACAGCCCTGAGTTCCTTGGCAGTTCCGCTCACCGTGACTTTCTTGGCAATGCTTCCAAGGTTTATCATATGACTGGTAGCGAGCAAGCAGAAAGCCTGCAAGTGTTTATGTTCAAATGGAAATATGTATACGTGTCCATGTGTGTGTGTGTGTTCAGGGATTATGTCATGGCTAAATTTTGACTTCAAAATTATCAGCTTGAAAGCAGCCATCACCAAAGATTCTACAAACCCAGTGCCTCCCCAATGTCGTGGGGGCTAGGTGGGTACCTTGCCAAACCAGCATGCAGAGGTTGAGCCACCACAGCCTCGAACGTATCCAGCACAAAATTTGTACATGTCAAAAACTGGAGGCAAGACATTGGTGATTTCACCTGAAGGCTGACCAAAAAGGATGTCAAGTACTTCTTGGTGTCTTCTTTGAGGCTTTTCAACCCACACACTTTGATTCTTTTGATCAGCATGTGGGTAGCATCAACTGTGTTGATGCCATTCTGCATCTGCTGCCATTCGCTTTGGGACAGGTAGTTCCAAGGCGTGGTCATGCTTTGAGGTGTAGCCTGCAACCTGGTGGCCCCTTGGATTGAAGAGGCTGCCCTTGATTCGAGAAATGCTTGCAACTCTGCCTTCGTGTCAGCAGTCAAGATGCAATTTTGAACAGCATCAGGACGCTTCAAGAAGTTAGAAGCAGCGAGCATTTGGACACCATTCACTTTGGACTGCAAAGCTTCCTGCATTCGTGGCACCAGCTGTGAACCAGCGTTCCTTTGGTAAATCGCTTCCATATCACTAATCTCCTTGACTAAGTCCTCAACGTCCCAAGTAGCCATGGTGATCAAAGGATCTAGGCTAAGGTGAGCCCACAATTCCTATGGGCCCACTGCAGCAGAAGCAGAAGAGAAGTGATTCTGCTAACCTTCAAAGTTAGAATTATGACAGCTCCTTTGGGCATGGGATAAAGGAGTTTAAGCCTTTACATGAAAGCCCCTTTGGGCAGAAACAATTTAGTTTACAAAATAAAATGAAAGCCCTATCAGCAAAACCTGTAGCAAGAGTCGGTGGGAATGGGTTCTGGGACCCTTTAAGGTTAGAAGCATATAAACTTCAGTGGGCTCTCATACCCAACCCTGGACCTTTACATGAAAGCCCCTTGGGCATAAACCACAATAGTTTCAAAATAGCAGGAAAGGCCACTGGGCCAGAAAAAAAACAAGTACACCACATGGTGTTTTTTTAAAATATTTTTTCTCCCCCCACAGTATTTTGATTCCACCCAAGTATGTTTTCATCCAGGCTTTCCATGCACTATGGGCATACAGCTGCAGCTATCAGGCGCAGATAGCATCGCCAGAAGGAACAGGGACCCCAGCCAACATGTAACTGATTTTGATCAAGTTCTTCAGGCTGGCAGGCAAAAGATGTGGGCCTTCATTCTGCTTGAAGTGCTCAAGAGCATCCTGCCTGAGCAAGCGAGCAATTTGTTTACGTCTATCCTCATACTACCTGAGTTCCCGTATGCTTTAAAAACATGATGAATTTCAACCTGGTAACCAAGAATCAAAACCTGATTGATGAATCTCGACATACCAGAGGCTCTTCCATCCATTGGATGAGGTCCAGGTTTGAAACTGTCGAGATACCATTGGATCAGTGGCTGAACCCCGTGCCTGACCCCTATTACTTGACATCCTGACAGCTTACACCTTGACAAGAAAAATGCAAAGGACACATGTCTGATGCACTAATGGAACACCAAAACCTGAAGCATCAATGTGCTATACTTGTGACAGCTTCAAAAAATGAAAGCATCAATGTGCTTTTTGGCTAAAAAAATGAAAGCCCTAAAGGCTGCTTATGTAAAAACTACATTATTTTTTGATAGTTGTGCCAAATAGTAAACCAAATTAATATCAAAATCTGAAAAGTAAAAAATATACTATTGTAGGTTCAAGTTAAGGTTCTGAATTGAAATGCCAACTGTTTGTTTTCCAATTTAGATTTCTGAATTGACATGGAGATTGTTTGATTTTCAATTTGGAATTCTGAATTGAAATGGTGATCGTTTGATTTTCAAGGTAGATTTCTGATTGAAATGGTGAATGTTTGATTTCCTATTAGATTTCTGAATTTAAATGGCGACTGTTTGATTTTCAATTTAAATTTCTGAATTGAAAATTGCGACTGCTTTATTTTCAATTTAGAAACAGAATTGAAATTCTTACTGTTTGATAGTTTGATATAAGGTTTTTTTTAACCACCCAGGCTTTGCTGGAGTCAGTAAGATCTTAGGCGAGTACAAGTGTTCAAGCCATACTCACCCTCCAAGTTCTTTTGCCATCCACACTTTTTGACGTAGCCCACCAAAGCTGCCACATACGCCTTCACCCGTGAAACCTCTTCCCATCGTTATAGTAGGCATCTCATCCTGTGCGCTTCTCCAAGCTTCCAAGCAACTACTAGCCCAGAAACTTTCCTGAACCAACCTCCACTAGAAGTTCCTCGAGGAGGCACGAACTCTGGTACCTGAGAATGAACAATACTAAATGCATAGATCAAGAAACTTGAATCCCACACAGAAAGCAAAACCATAGAAACATATGATGCTTGAGAAAATGTATGAATTTCCTATCAGATACATCTTGAGTAGAGGACGGCCCAGTCGAAGCTTGAGAGCCTTTTTGTTTGGTGCAATAAAGAAGCTTCTTCACCTGGTCAGGAGTACAGGTCAACCTCCCCCATTGCTTCTGGAACTGGACCAGGTAGTTCTTTGGGGATGCATGCTGCTGAAGCCTCAGAGGGGGTACTTCAGGAGTGGCAGGTGCCAACAAACCAACATCAGGTTGAACTGGCAAAACCGTAGTTGCACTGGCTGGTGAAGACGCGCAGATACCTGGACTTGGGCCAGGTGCCATTGCCATAGAAGCTTCAAGTAGTGGTGCACCTGGGTGTTTGGCTTTAGAACCTTCCACTTCTCGCAGAAAACCAGATCCACTACTGGGCTCACCTGGTGGCTGTTCTGGCAGGTCAGGCATCAGGCCATCCATCTGCAGCCTGTATGCAAAGTTCACCAAGAGGTCCAAGGTCTGCTTTTGCAACTCTTCTTCATTCAAAGGATCCTGAGAGGGGACGACAGCGGGGCCAAAAACAATGAAGTGATGAGTATGACAAAATGAAGGGGGTTGGCCGCCATCACCCTCCCTCTTCATCACTACAGGTGGAAGTGGTGGAACATGTTTGCATTGCTTTGTTGCTTGTGTTACATGCCCATGAGGTTCCTTTAAGGTTTTTTCTTTAAAACTATGCTTATTACTAAGATTGCAACCAGTTGAACAAATACAAACTCCTGACAACCAAAACATTCCCATGCATGAGCGCACAAGAGTCCCAAACTTGCATGCACATTCCAAAACTTTGTAGCTTGCAGGGATGGAAAGCAACACAATTGACACTGGAGGACTCTTCTGCCCAGAGTTCAAATTGGCGTGCGTTCGCGCGTGCTGGTGACAGCATCTCTTGGAGCAGAAAACGGACGCTGCGCAGGTTGAGGGGCAAGGGAAAAATTGCGACTTTCTGTTGAACTTGTACACACATGTAGACATATTTACTTGTGTATATAGTATATATGCATATAGAATGACGTTTGATTACGTTTGTGCGAGGAGGAACGAAATAGACCCCAAAGGTCCCTGCCACGTATATGTATATGTATATGTATATGTGTATGTATATGTATATGTATATATATGTATATGTATATTATATTTTATTAAATTATATTGTATAATTACATTATATTGTATTACATTATATTTACATTATATTATACCATTATATACGTGATGTTAAGTTTATCACTATGTATTTTGTAATTACTCAATCTTAAGACATACCGTACAAAATATCCACATGGAAGTTTGATTGCTGTTCCGGTGTTCAGGAAGAACATCATCAGATTCGCCCATGTGCACATCCGGTTGAACCGTACATACTGGATCATACTGGGTTGCCATCTGATTTAACCAACAAGTTCCTGATCCACCTATCTAGCTAATGTGGGTAAAACAATGTCATAAACCACGCCCAGTCATCACCATTTTATAGGTGGTATGGTTACCATTCACAATCAGTGGTGGTTTATGACATTGCTTTACCCACAGTTATAAGTGGATTAAATCTGCTTGTCCCATTTTTCCTATGCAAATAATGTCGACCCTGGATTAATAAACCCCTGGGGTTTAATTGAGAGGGTACCATTTAAGTCAAGTACTAGATTATGACTATTGGAGGAGTACCCCCCTAATTCATAAACCACGGTTTATTACTCCGGGGTTGACATTAACTGGGGTGAACTAACCCACTTACGATTCACCACTTGGGATGATCCACCGCTATCCCAAGGTCCGCGCTTTTTAGCGAAGACACCGCTCCGTCGCAGATCAGCGCGGGGAACTTCTCCAGCTTCGCGAGCGCTTGCTGCGTCAAGGGATCATCGATGCCTCGGACGACTCAGCGGGAGCCCTGGGAGTCGTCGAGTGTTGTGTCCGGTGTCAAACGCGGCAGGCAATGGAAGATATGGACAATTCCCCTATAGAAATGGACATCAGTATTGGGAAAGTCCACATTTGATGACACCGGAGGGTATATGGAAGGTGAATGAACATTCATTGCCATAAAGATTTGTGTTGATTGATCACTAACAAAAAGGTCCCGGTGATTTTCGACCCACCTTTGCCTGCTGATATTCTCAGGTATATATATATATATAATTATTTGCATTTTTGTCCGAAGTCATCCACAGCTTTAGGACCCTTGTGGGTGCGAGTCAAAACCAGAAACAAAAACAATATGTACATATCTGTACTGGCATTCTCAGAGAACAATGTTTGGTATTTTGTCCTGTTTGAACTATCTCTGCTTCAAATCCACCCCTGACTATATGCGACACCTCTTTGCGCAATTCCCATGTCCGCTCAGGGCTTAAATCTTGATCCATCCACACATCATTATGACATGGTCTTCGATATACCTCAAAGAAGCTACAGTACCTTCGAGCGAGGCATAACAGTCATAACACTCCTCCTCCACTACGTAAAAATCAACCAATCAAAACTTGCCATTTACAAGCTGTTTCACCCATTCTGACTAGGTTTGTCCCCATGTTTGGTTAGTTAACCCCCACTGCCTTATTGCCAAGTCAAACCCACTGAAGTTGGCTGTCATTATCCTTTACTAGTCGCTTGACCCAGCCGTTTTTTGCTGATTCCACCGCCTTACTTCGTTCAACTCCGAACTGCTTTAGGTGAGTTCATGCGGACATGACCCACCTATCCATCAGCCAAACCCTTACGACCAAAAGACCAAACAGCACAAATGGATCGGCATCAAGGTATTCCAAGGTTTCCTGCGACAGCTGCAACGGGCTGAACATTGGAGAAAATTGGGTGGGCTATGACTACAACTAGAAGCGTACAGCTTATGGAGTCAATATGGGATGATTTTGGGATAGTGTGGGGCAATGAATTACGGTGCTGTATGAAAGTAGAAAGCCTGAGTGTTAATCAACCACTTGTAATTTCAGTTTTACCAATCATATAAAGATGAGTGATGTAAACATCTTATTCAAAAACAATATAACATATATGGAAATAAGGACCTACGGTATGTTGTTTTCTTGTCCTCGGGGTGCGAAGGGTCCACTCCTAAGCTGTGATGAACCATGATCCAACAATAGTATATTTATCACTAACCCAAATTTAATAAAGTATATACTGTGACACTGAAATTTCATGACTTAAATATATATATAATGTGTATTAATGTGTGTCATAACCAAATTAGACCGTCAGGTATATATGGGTTGTAGGATGTTGTAGCATGTTGTCGGTCACAAACCAGTTTGGTAATATTAATTATCTCATTAATGAGAAATGATTTTCCCACTACCCATTACCTCATTGCTAACAACCTAATGCTTGGATCATCTTGGGTACACCAGTTTTGGATCATGTTTGGTTCCCATCTCACCAGCTTGATATCAATTATATCCCCATTTAGATGATTTTTAGATACCCATTATCATATGATGTTATATGGTTTCCATTGGTTCCCACCAAAAACATGTACCATTACCCATCATAATATGATTTCATATGGTTCCCCAGCAAAAATGTATCGAACAACTCTCCAAAAACACCAGCTGTGGACTTTCCGCCTCGCTCAGCAGGTTGCGTTTCTCGAAGTATCCCAAGGCGTTCATCCAGAGGTCATCGAAGTCGGCGTACCTCGCCGGATCCCGTGGAATCCTGCGCCCGTCTTCGAAATCACCACGTCGGTGAACACAAATCCAAGAATTTTGGTTTGTGATACTTAGATACTTATAGATACCTATTAACTTATAACTATACAACTTATAACTATAATGTATTTTTGGTTTCATAAAGCACGACACATCAGTGGGGGGCTCCACTTTGTAGTTTTAAGCTGATTTTGTGGCAGGAAACTCACGTTGTCAACCAATTGGGAAAATGATGAAATCAGCTTATAATCAAGCAGATTGACAACCATGATGTTTGCTTCTGATAGGGCAAACATATTGGTTTGATCATGTTTGATAGATGATATGATCATCATGTAAAACCATGTAAAACCATCAATTTTCAAGGGGAATAACCTATTTTTCGACAAACCAATGTGGTCAGGCCAATTTTTTCAGGGACAACCTGCTGCCCAGTTGCCAGCCATCACTCAGAGAGTCCAAGGGCGGGATCACTTCCTAGCGGGACAACTTCTGGGTTGCAGTATGATGCTAGTATGTGGTACTACTATCACCATTAGGTGTGTTTTATTTTCCTGCAGTTGACTTTTCTTGGGGTGCTGCTTGGGTGTTGCTGAACCAAGGAATATAATACTGCAGCAACAGAAACCATGATACAGAATTAATCTGAACCTGGTGGGAATTTCACCTGTCTAAGCTGTCCAAGCTCACCAACATCTGGGATCTTCACCCAAATCCCATTCTATGTCCTTCTGAAATCCTATCAAATCCGATAAAAAATCCCATGTTTTTTTCCCATTGTCTTCCCATTTAATCCCATAAAAATCCCATGATATCCCGTGGCAACTTAAAACCAACGATGATATTCCCAGTTGCCACGTCACAATAAACCGTGCATCGTGCCCCCGCCTTGTTGGCGGTCCAACTGATCTGATACTGCGGTCCTACTGGCCATCCATCCTGGTCGGTGCCACCATGGCCTCAGCCGGTCAACGAACATGGAAATGGGAAAACACCATGAGATCCCAATGGTTTCTGGAAAAACCATCTATGTGCTTATTCATGTGTATTTGTTTTGTTCTCTAGCTTTCTATCTGTTTATCGATCAATCGATCGATCTATCTATCTAAATGTGTGAATATAAACATGTACAATCATATACAACTGTTGTGCCATTATGTGCATGTCCTGTTCTGCACCTGAATCTGTACATCTGCATCATCTGCAGACTACAACTTGTGGTGCCTTGAAGTTTGCCAAGAAGATGAAAGGAACAAAGTCTGCATTTTCGAAACAATGTGTAATTCTATGTAATTCCCACATCCTTCTGTCGCAGGCTTGGGATTTCAGGGATGCATCGAAACGTTATCAAAGAACAATGTCTCCACGTGTTGTTTCTTTCCGTTGCTTCCCTGGTGATACCCCATGTTTTGTTTACATGTGTGTAAGATCCTCCAAAACTAGGCTCACATTAGGCTCACATTGTTGGGTTCAGGTTACATCTAAGACCTCAGTTGTTTGCCCCCATTTTTGCGATGCATTTAAACCCGCTTGAACAATCTATGCCATTTGGGTATCATCATTCCACTTTTTCAAGCACCGAAACCACTGAAACCACCAGCCAGCTAGGATCTCTCCCACTTCAATTTAGATGGCTCTGAAATGCCCATTTTGCCAGTCTGGGTCTTGGATATCTTGGATATCTTGGATCAAGGGGCGCGTCTCCAGGTACATGGGCTGACCCTCATCCAAGAGCATGTAGGAGTAGAAGCCCACAGGGATGACGCCACGTGATACCCGGAGATCTGCACGCTGGTGCAAGTAGGCGTACCTCGTGGTTTTCAACAGTGTCTGGGGGGTCACTACGATCTGTGGATTTGGGCTTCTATCATGATTTATGTATCATTATATCATACAACAATCTTGAATATATAGATATATCATTATATCATATTGTATCACATGATGGACACCCGATCAAAACTCTCCACTATGATTTCGTGAACTCGCCATTGTCATTAACAATCTCACACTGCCTCACGGTTGATTCTTGTCCAGGCGAAGCATGCTTCCATTAGACCAGTTCTTTTTTGTTCCGATAGCGAACACTTCCAGCATCAAAATATGCTCCACGTGAACCAAGAAATACTTACGGACCATTTTTGATTGTGTGTTCCTTTCAAAGCTAGTGACTATTCAATACTATTCATGCAAACCACTCATATGCTCTTGAGGAAAAACAAAGGAAATTAAACGGTACATCCTTGCGATTACCTTCAAAATTGCAGATCGCTCAGGATGAACCTCGAAAGCCAGAAAAAAACATCATAAAAGAGTTACCTGCGAATGTTCCCGAATGCTCCCACTTTCACTAAACAGTGCTTTACGTCTGGTAATTCAACAGCTATTGAAGCCATGGCTATTTAGTTTGTTGATTTACCATGATTTACCCATGATTTACCCATGATTTACCATGATTTACCGATGAACAATGGTGATTTTCCAGTTCGTTCAACGTTGACCAGGTCGTTCAACAGGACGCCATGGTGGTTCGTTCTCAACGCCGAGTCTCAGCTTGGCCTCCGGCTCCGTGGGTGCATTGTAGGTGGATCCAAACCGCACGACCTCGGCGTGGAATGTTAAATACATAAGTAACTAACTAGCTATACACATATATAATTGTGTACATATATATATATATATACATGTATAGAGAGAGAGAGAGAAAGGGATACATATATATATATATAATATGATTGTATGTGTATATATATATGATATAGTATAATACTAAATTACATAGATAGTTCTTGTCTGGATATGATTATGTATTCCTCACCGCTCTTCAGTCTGTAACGGATCTATCATTTTTTTCAACGGGGACTCAACGGGAAACACTGCGAGGATATGGGTCTCGGAGAATTCCCAGTTAAACTCAGTTGGGATTTGCACACTGACACTGCCAAGATCAGCCGTATATCAGCCATAATATGACACATGAAATCCATAACCATATTATATGATATTGGATGAAATATGACACATGCGCATGAAATCAATGGGTCCTCATACCCTTCATGTCTACAGATTTTAAGCCGCAATCTGACCGTGATTTGACTACATAAATTTAATATGATCAAAACAGATCGGCCAAGGAACCTTGTGTCTTGTCAAAACATTTGTCTTGGGCATATGAGCATTGATCGCTGGTTTGGCTGCTGCCATGGCCCCTCAAACCAGCCCGAAGATGGGAAGCTTAGACGCAAGATACCCCTGTGTGCAGTGCACCAAACACACTCAAACTTGGCTGGATGTACCTTGTTAAACTCTGAAGTTCTTTCCTCAACATTCCTTATCAAACTTATCAACCAAAATGTGCTTCCAAGTGGTTTTTTGGGTCACATTTCTCAGGTGATGCTGCGGTTTAGCTGCGGTCGTTCAGAAGTTTCGATCACTGGTGGATGTTCATTGCATCACAGGGGCATCCTGCATCCATCATCCCCATCCAACAGGACATGGGCCAAAATCTGGTGCCAAATTGCTGCGAAGCCCAGCTTGATGTTTCTTCAAATCACAATCAAATGGTGCTAGTACCCTACAAACAATCAAGATTTAAGAGCCACAGAAATACGTATTTGACCAACAAGTCCGACAAGCAATAGGTTGCTTTGAAATGCTTTGAAGGAACATGTACAGGAAACCATAGTTTTTACTTCTCCAGAGTCTTTTGTAAAGATTCCCTTCAAGGAATTCTGGGACTTCGTGGCAGCTCCTTCCCCCGCTTAACATGGGATGAGTACAGATTAATAAAGCTACTTTGAATGTAAGGGGGTAGTTCATTCATCCGGTAAATCATCTGGCAAGGTATATATTGCATTGCACTGTTGGTGAATATTTCTCTGGTTGATCATGTCAACTGACACCTAGAATATGAGAATCAGATCACGGTCATCATTCCGAATCCCAACTATGCTTCAAAACCAGAAGCAGTTGAGCCATTGCAGCAATATTCTCGTTAGAGTCATATCCTTGTTTAGCTACCACAGAACCCAATTTGTGTATTCTTTGGATCGGGAAGGGTAATTTCAGTTGGAATTAGGGATTTGGCATTTTGTTATCCGTTCTTATGGTAGTTGTGTAAAAGAGCATAGCCACTCTAGGATACCTTAAGTCCATTTTCAGCCGGATGTCACCATCAATATCACAGATTCTGACATCAAAATCACAGCAAAAATCAGAGGCCACCGTCCAATCGGCCAATCAAAATGGCTCAAAATCAAGGGAGTAACCTATTCAACTTCTTGCATTCACCACAAACAGTTGGCCTCTGAAAAAGACTTTGCCCAACTCCGTCCCAAAAAAATCCACAAACCACATATCAAACCACCATTTTTTTCCAGATCTTCTCCCCATCCCAGGGTCCCGCCTGACAAATAGCCAGGCCCCGGTGCCACTGCTGTGACCGAATCCTCAGCACGAGATGAGCGCAACCGAATCTCTCATGATGTGGATGGGCTGGTCTTAACCAACTAAAATATACCCCAAAACAAGGGGTGTAAACCAAGTTGATGTGGACATTCAAATGGATATGTTCATTTTTTGTAGGCCACTGGCACAGAATGGGATTATAAAAAAACTACACTCCCCAAGAGTTTGTATGGGAGATACATGGATATACTAGTCACGATATGGGAAGTGGGGGATGAAAGCACCCGTTACATGGGATAGTCATCTCAGGAGCTGAATTCGACATCGACACAGCCATCTGCAAAAGTGTATGTATAGTAATCTGGTTGGTGGTTTTAACCATCTTGAAAAATATTAGTCAATGGGAAGGATTATCCCATATATTATGGAAAATAAAACATATTCCAAACCACCAACCAGGTAATGGGTTGAATTGTATTTTGTACAAGACCCATCCAACTGTAGGAATATTTTTTGGGGAGCCCACATTGTAATATCTGAAATTGATCACGTACGCCCCCCAGCAAGCTTTAAAATCCATGAACACAACTGCTTCAAATGACATACACTCAATGCCTTAGCAGCTTGCAGGATCATCTAAATGGTAGTTTCACAAAATTAGATGATGTTTTGATACACAACCATAAATATATATATATATATATATATACATATATATAGTGTATATATCATTATGATTCATTATGTGTATGTATATATATATATATCTTGATATATCTTGGTAATTCTGCACAGGCTCAAAAAATGAAGAAAAAACAGACCCAGATCATTCATTATTCATGCATCGTATATTGAACTACATTTCCCTGAAAATCTTCCAGTAATGCAAGTACATACAACATACCCGTGTGCCACATGGTGCTGGAATATTTAGCAACACATTTGCCCCCATTCAATAACCCAGCCAAAATGCAGGTAAATCTCAGAAAACATCGCAAAAACACAAACATCAAATCCATGTCCTTCCAATTTTAATGCCATGAAACCATATAATATCCATCAAAACACAATATATGCTATTTTCAAATCCATGTCCATCAAATATTGATATATATATATATTATATATATAATATTATATAATATTGTGTTTATTTCCCTCATTGCCATCAAATGGCTTTGTCTGAAAATAGGGTAGCCGCTATAGCCCAAATCCACTGGTCATGGTGACCAGTTTGCATACGGATAGTCGGCCATTCGGCTTGATGTCAAAAAGCCTCAATGATCCCAATTCTTGATAGTTCTTGATGAGTATAATTCCCCAAAGCAATCATAAGTCCCAAAACTATGAAGCCATTGTAAAGCATTGATAATTTACCCATTGATTCATGGCTTCATACATATGATAGATACTGGTTAAATAAATTGATCATGCCATTGATAAGGCCTTCCCCATTACTCAAACGTGAGTAAGTTACCCTCCAGTAATTGGTGGGTTCTCCAGCCATAAAACCCATTTTGTGTACCCACCGAAAAACTCCTCCCCTTTCCTGACCAGTTATATAATTACCTGGTTATAAGCTATAACCACCTAAAAAAACCCACTGTTTTTCCCATTCATATGGCAGTGTGTCAAAACCAATAGTACCCCTGTAGTTCACATCAAAATAGCTGGGATTTATGGATGTTCATTCCCCTAAAAATGGTATTAATAGGTATTGACCCATACCCATAGTTTAATCAGAACTAACCAATCTAGTTCAATACCCATACCCATAGGTTGATGGCTTACAATACCTATTTAGTTCATAGTTTAATAGATGTGCTATTGACTTATAAACTAGCCAGTGAACTAATCCCATAGCCCATCTAGGCCGCTTAGTTCCCAGCTAGGCGCAAGGCTGTAGCACAGCTGGTCAGCCCGGCGCCGCCCGCTTCAAGGCCCTGCGAGGACAAGCAGCGGAAGAAGTCTGCGGCACGTCTCCTTGGTCTGGTAGGTCAGTGGGCTATGAAATGGTGATATTTATGTTGTAAAGGAACAAATATGTATCAATTCTGTATATTTCACCAACCAAACATAGAAATATAAACTATCTGGAGCCTGAAGTATACCCCATTTGCTCCAATTGTTGAAGTGATTTGAAGTGATTGAAGAACTTGTCGAAACTAATCCAATTAAGTAAAGTCACTCGATTTGTGAAGCATGGAATTACAAGGATCCACCTTTAATGGGATGTACCGTTGATGGTTCATCTCTTTAAAAGCATGTGCCGTCTGGAAGTCGAATAGCAACGGAGCACCTCTCACACTTGTGCATAAGGTACCTCTCAAAAATTGGTAATTATGCAATGTTTGATTCCTGGCTGTTTACTGCGAAGTACAAACCATTTGCACTGCATCTTGTCTCTGTTGTAATGTCCGAAATTGGAACTGAAAGCCCCTTTACAAAAACAGTGGTTTGTTGAAGGTATATTTCCAAAAAACAAATATCCCACAAACATCTGGATGATAATCTCGTCATCTTGGTCAAATCATCTCAAATCTCCACGTTTGACAGAACACAACAGCCCCATAGCTTGCGAACCGGCATCCATTGCTGTCCCTTCTCCAATGCGCCCAGTTTTATGTTGAAGAACGGCTTGTCCACGCGCATGCTGCGTTTGCACCCGGTGACACCTGCTGAGATGGTGGGGCCGGGATCATGCTCAGCCGGGGTGTACCGATGAATGAATGAATCAACTTACCCAACCAAGGTTTACCAAGCAAATTTGCTCATTTTCTGCAAGCAAACACATCTATCTTGAAGTGCAAACAGTTTTCGCCCATTTGGAAATTAGCATAGCCAATCTCGGGGTGATCTGTCAAACATGCCTTGTTTTTTTCAATCTCAAGCACCCCATGTCTATTTAAGCCCGGGTGCAGATTTTGTTTGGTATTATTTTTTTCCAGTCTGGGGCACTTTTCCTTGCTATTTGCTACATTTTGGAGCAAAAACCTGTACTTTGCTGAATTTTGGAGCTAACATTGACATTTGCCATTTGCAATGTAATGTTCATCGATTTTTCCATGGTGTTCATTGATTTACCCAAAGTGTTCATCGATGTTCCATAGTTTTCATCGAGTTTGCCATGGGTTCAATTGATTTTTCCATGGTTTCAATCGATTTTTCCATGCATAACATGCACCTGGTGAACATGTAGAATATAGGTTGAAGCACAACCGTGTTGGGTCTAAATAGTGGCATTGGATGCTATCATAGTGTTGGTTGGTTTAGGGTTTATTTGGGGTTGGTTTAGGGTCATTTAGGATTGGTTTAGGGTTGTTTTAGGGTTTATTTAGGGTTGGTTTAAGGTTTATTTAGTGTTGGTTTGGGACTTAGCCAGAGTTATTTAGGGATGGTGTAGGGTTTATTTAGGGTTTATTTAGGGTTTATTTAGGGTTGGTTTAGGGTTTTTTTAGGGCTATTTAGGGTTGG